AATGCACATAAAACGCATACAGTTCATTAACCTTATACAATCACAAATTTATTAAATAAATCACACTCACAAGATGGCAAAAATCACTTCTAATTTATCTGATTCCTATTCTTACCCTCTATATGTATCTTAATTGCCTTAATGCAAATTTTTCTTTGGGAGGCTGACACCACTCTTGCACTTAGTATGTTTTTGTTAGTTTCCACTGTTAGCGAGAATTATGAATGTTTCTGTTAATACTGTGCTGTGCAGTATTGCATTGGGCATACGTTTGGATTATAAATACCAAGAGGAGTGGTGCCCACCATCCTGGTCATTTTTTATGTTTTATATTATTTTTTGCAAATTTTTTAGAAAAGGATTATACAATGGGGCAAAAAAGTATTTAGTCAGCCACCAATTGTGCAAGTTCTCCCACTTAAATAGATGAGAGAGGCCTGTAATTGGCATCATAGGTAGACCTCAACTATGAGAGACAAAATGAGAAAAAAAAATCCAGACAATCACATTGGATGATTTGAAAAGAATTTATTTGCAAATGATGGTGGAAAATAAGTATTTGGTCAATATCAAAAGTTCATCTCAATACTTTGTTATATATCCTTTGTTGGCAATGACAGAGGTCAAACGTTTCCTGTAAGTCTTCACAAGGTTGGCACACACTGTTGCTGGTATGTTGGCCCATTCCTCCATGCAGATCTCCTCTAGAGCAGTGATGTTTTGGGCCTGTTGCTGGGCAACACGGACTTTCAACTCCCTCCAAAGGTTTTCTATGTGGTTGAGATCTGTAGACTGGCTAGGCCACTCCAGGACCTTGAAATGCTTCTTACAAAGCCACTCCTTCGTTGCCCGGGCAGTATGTTTGGGATCATTGTCGTGTTGGAAGACCCAGCCACGTTTCATCTTCAATGCCCTTGCTGATGGAAGGAGGTTTGCACTCAAAATCTCACGACACATGGCCCCGTTCATTCTGTCCTGTACATGGATCAGTCGTCTTGGTCCCTTTGCGGAGAAAAAGCCCGAAAGCATGATGTTGCCACCCCCATGCTTCACAGTAGGTATGGTGTTCTTTGGATGCAACTCAGCATTCTCTCTCCTCCAAACACGACAAGTTGTGTTTCTACCAAACAGTTCTATTTTGGTTTTATCTGACCATATGACATTCTCCCAATCCTCTTCTGGATCATCCAAATGCTCTCTAGCAATCTTCAGACGGGCCCGGACATGTACTGGCTTAAGCAGGGGGACACGTCTGGCACTGCAGGATCTGAGTCCCTGGCGGCGTAGTGTGTTACTGATGGTAGCCTTTGTTACGTTGGTCCCAGCTCTCTGCAGGTCATTCACTAGGTCCACCCATGTGGCCCTGGGATTTTTGCTCACCGTTCTTGTGATCATTTTGACCCCACGGGGTGAGATCTTGCGTGGAGCCCCAGATCGAGGGAGTTTATCAGTGGTCTTGTATGTCTTCCATTTTCTAATTATTGCTCCCACAGTTGATTTGTTCACACCAAGCTGCTTGCCTATTGCAGATTCAGTCTTCCCAGCCTGGTGCAGGTCTACAATTTTGTTTCTGGTGTCCTTCGACAGCTCTTTGGTCTTCACCATAGTGGAGTTTGGAGTGTGATTGTTTGAGGTTGTGGACAGTGTCTTTTATACTGATAAGTTCAAACAGGTGCCATTTATACAGGTAATGAGTGCAGGACAGAGGAGCCTCTTAAAGAGGTCTGTGAGAACCAGAAATCTTGCTTTTTTGTAGGTGACCAAATACTTATTTTCCACCATAATTTGCAAATAAATTATTTCCAAAACAGCCAATGTGATTGTCTGGATTTTTTTTCTCATTTTGTCTCTCATAGTTGAGGTCTACCTATGATTCCAATTACAGGCCTCTCTCATCTTTTTAAGTGGGAGAACTTGCACAATTGGTGGCTGACTAAATACTTTTTTGCCCCACTGTAAGTAAAATCATTACAGAAATAAATATAAAGGATAAGAAACAAAAATATAATCAATAGAACTAAGGAAATCAAATTAGAATACATAAAGATATGCCTAGTGCTGTTTGTTAAACACAGTAGACGCGACAGAGTGCCGTCTGTCAGAGGACTCCGCACAGAGATTTACTATTGAGCAGCGTCGAAAAAGCGCATGCGCATTTATATCGGCCAAATACGCTGCACGAGCGTCTAGTTTTTCAGTATGTTGACTTGCTTAAAAAAAAACTTTTTAACACATTTTAAATTTTTTTTTTAAATGGCAGATATTGTTTAAAGTGAAGTCCTGATATTTGGCAAAGCAAATTTCAAAGTGAACATGTTTCTGCAGTGATTTTTCATGGTGTTAGACATGCCTCTTAGCAAGTCTGCTTTTTGAGTCTGATTCCTAGTCTTTGTCTCGTTAGTAAATTCGATTTGGCGTCTACTTGTTGATGATTCTCTTTAGTAAATCTCTTAGCTGGGTAAAAGTAGACGGTCGCTAGTAAAAATTAGACGTTCGCCCACGGAAATGCGCCTAGGCACAATAGTAAATGAGGGTCATTGTGTCTATTGGTTGTTACATTAAAGATGATTAAAAAAAAAAAATCTTTGAGTGGAGGTGACATGTCTGCTGTCTAGAATGGAGCTCCAGTCTGCAGCTAGATACCCTTGAAAATGTATAATAGACTTTCTGCTCATCACTGAAATGTGTTCCCCACCTAATAGAACTGAACAGTAAAAAAAAGACTAGTTCTGCCACCTTAGAAAACTTGAATGTGTGAATAGTGGTGGAAACCCCCTATGTGAATGTGTATTACCAGAATGCTATATCTCAACTATGGATGAAAAATGAATAACTGGTCTATAACTCAAACAAAATAACATAGTGTGCTGCAAATGTGATATATAGAATATAAAAATATATATATATTATTGTGCATAAAGGAATACCATACAGCACTTCAAAACAATTTTGTGTGTGTGTATATGTGTCATGGCCGAAATTGTTGGGATATTTTTCCTGAAAATCAAGTATTTCACACAAAAAAGGTATTGCATTAACACATGTTTTTGCTATACACATGTTTATTTTGTATGTATTGGAACAAATATAAAACAGAGGCAGAAAAGCAAATATGACATAATGTCACACAAAAACCCCAAAAATGGGCTGGACAAAAGTATGGCACCCTAACTTAATATTTGTTGCACACCCTTTGGAAAACATAACTGAAATCAGTCGCTTCCTATAACCATCAATGTGCACACCTCTCACCCACGGAATTTTGGACCACTCTTCCTTTGCAAAAGCTCCAGTCTCTCTTATTGGAAGGACAAAAACCTTTTCCCAACAGCAATTTTAAGATCTCTCCACAGGTGTTCAATGGGATTTAATCTGGGCTCATTGCTGGCCACTTCAAACTCTCCAGCGCTTCTTTGCCATCCATTTCTGAGTGCTTTTTGACGTATGTTTGGGGTCATTGTCCTGCTGGAAGACCCAGGATCTTGGACGCAAACCCAGCTTTCTGACACTGGGCCCTACAGTGCGACCCAAAATCCTTTGGTAATCCTCATTTCATGATGCCTTGCACACAGTCAAGGCACCCAGTGCCAGAGGCAGCAAAAAAACAACCCCAAAACATCATTGAACCTCCACCATATTTTACCGTAGGTACTGTGTTTTGTTCTTTGTAGGCCTCATTCCGTTTTCGGTAAACAGTAGAATGATGTGCTTTACCGAAAAGCTCTATCTTGGTCTCATCTGTCCACAAGACGTTTTTCCCAGAAGGCTTTTGGCTTACTCAAGTACATTTTGGCAAACTGTAGTCTTGCTTTTTTATGTCTCTGTGTCAGCAGTGGGGTCCTCCTGGGTCTCCTGCCATAGCGTTTCATTTCATTTAAATGTCGAATAGTTCGCGCTGACACTGATGCTCCCTGGCCTGCAGGACAGCTTGAATGTCTTTGGAACATGTTTGGGGCTGCTTATCCACCATCCGGACTATTCTGCGTTGCAATCTTTCATCAATTTTCCTCATCCGTCCACGACCAGGGAGATTAGCTACAGTGCCATGGGTTGCAAACTTCTTGATAATGTTGCGCACTGTGGACAAAGGCAAATCTAGTTCTCTGGAGATGGACTTGTAACCTTGAGATTGTTGATATTTTGCCACAATTTTGGTTCTCAGGTCCTCAGACAGTTCTCGTCTCCTCTTTCTGTTGTCCATGCTTAGTGTGGCACAGACAGACACACAATGCAAAGGTTAAGTGAACGTCTCTCCTTTTTATCTGCTTTCAGGTGTGATTTCTATATTGCCCACACCTGTTACTTGCCCCAGGTGAGTTTACAGGAGCATCACATGCTTGTAACATTCTTATTTATCCGCAGTTGTGAAAGGGTGCCAATACTTTTGTCCAGCCCATTTTTGGAGGTTTGTGTGACATTATGTCGAATTTGCTTTCTTTCCTCCCTTTTTTTTGTTTTGTCCCAATACACACAAAGGGAATAAACATGTGTATAGCAAAACATGTGTTAATGCAATACGTTTCGTGAGAAATACATGATTTCCTGGAGAAATATCAAGGGTGCCAACAATTTCGGCCATGACTGTATATATATATATATATATATAACATTTAGTGAATGTGGTGAGAACCTCCATTGTGTGAATATAAAGTCAATCCAAATAAATGTACACAAATAAAATAAATTCTGTGTCATGAAAATCAGTCCATTAACCGCCTCTCGCCCACCATATAGTAATATGACGGACGCAAGGTGGTTCTCTCGTTATGTGCTCATCCCTCGGACACAGCAGATCACCGATCCATGGAAAAAAGTGCCACATGTGATCAGCTGTGTCCAATCACATGATCGCATTTCAGGGAAATGTCACTGTGACAGCTCTGAGAAGAGATCTGGCGTCATTCCTCATGTGATCATCACGGCCTGATGATCAGTGTGCCTGATGATCAGTGTAGTCCCAGCAGTGCCACCTGTCAGTGTCCTTCAGTGCCATGTGTCAGTGCTCATCCATGCCACCTGCCAGTGCCACATCAATGCCACATATCAGTGCCCATCTGTGTCAGTGCCACCTATCAGTGTGCATGCAAGTGCTGCCTATCAGTGCCGCCTAACAGTGCCAGTCAGTGCCGCCTATCAGTGCCATATATGAGTGTGCCTTTCAGTGCCCATCAGTGTTGCCTGTCTAAGCCCATCAGTGCCACCTACCAGTGCCTCCTCATCAGTGCCACCTATCAATGTCCATCAGTGCAGCCTATCAGTGCCCATCACTGCAGCCTCATTAGCGCACATCAGTGAAGGAGAAAAATCACTTATTTACAAAATTTTATAACAAAAACTAGGAAAAACCCAGAGGTGATTAAATACCCACAAAATAAAGCTCTATCTGTCACAAAAAAAGATAAAAATTTCATATGGGTACAGTGTTGCATGACCACGCAATTGTCATTTAACCATTTCAATACCGGCAATTTTACACCTTCCTGCCCAGGCCAGTTTTCACGTTTCAGCGCTCTCACACTTTGAATGACAATTGCGCGGTCATACAACATTGTACCCAAACTAAAATTTTATCATTTTCTTCACACAACTAGAGCTTTCTTTTGGTGGTATTTAATCACCGCTGGGGTTTTTTATTTTTTGCTAAATTAACAAAAAAAAAAAAATTTTGAAAAAAAACACGTTTTTCTTTGTTTCTGTTATAAAAGTTTACAAATAAATAATTGTTCTTCATAAATTTAGGCCGAGATGTATTCTACTACATGTCTTTGGTGAAAATAACCCAAATTAGGATGTATTTTTTAGTTTGTAGGAAAGTTATAGAGTTCACAAACTATGGTATAGATCTGAATATTGATCAATCCTGAAGTACTGACGGCCAATCTAATTTCTTGAGGTCCAAGAATGTCAGAATAGTACAGATATCCCCAAATGACCCCTTTTTGCAGAGTAGACAGTCCGACGTACTTCATAAGAGGAATGGCGAGTTTTTTGAAGTTGTTTTTTTTTGTCATAATTTTTTGGAAAATGAAAAAATAAAAAAAAATTTCACAATTTTTTTTTTTTACACACTGTCACCAGTGCAGTACAGCGTCATCATATAACTGGCATGGCGGTGAACAGGGACACTGACTGGTGACAGTATGGAAAAAAATACATATATATATATTTTTTTTATTATTATTATTTTTAATTTTTTATTACTTTTTTTTTATTTTTTTTAAGATTTTTTTTCATATTTTACTATGACCAAAGTAGTACAATGTTACCATAGTAACATTGTACTACTTTGGGGAAGTGATCAGTATTTTGTTTATTTATTTATTTTTTTTAAGAATTACTTTGCTACTTTGCTAAGCAAGCATTTACCTGAATGAAATCGATTCATTCAGTTTTTTTTTTTTTGTGCTTAGCTGTGATTTGGTCACAGCTAATCACATGACATGTGCATGTGACCTGCTGTGACCATTCACAGCTAGGCACTAGTATACAATGGATGGCATGAATGAAGCCATCCATTGTATACAACTGTCATGTGACCTGCTGTGATTGGTCACAGCAGGTCACATGGTACCAGCAACGGGAGCCGGTACTCGGATCTGTCATCGGCCGTGTCCGAGGTACACGGCTGGTGACAGATCGCGCTGCTGCGCCGCTCTGCAGTTGCACGAACTGAGCATGTGTGGGAGCACGCCAAAGGGCGTGCACCCGGCATGCAGAAGCACTTTTGCCGCCGCCAAACGGCCATTGGCCGGGCGGCAAATGGTTAAAGTGCAACAGCACTGAAAGCTGGAAATTGGCCTGGGCAGGAAGGGGGTATAAGTGCCCTGTAGGCTAGTGGTTAAATAATGTGCTGCTCATAGCTATCCACTAATACCTCACCATTTTAATACCTCACCTCCACCACCAGTGATCCTATGCGCTCACCTCCATATTAGACCTCAGAGGGTCACTGCACACCTCCCCCACCCTGGAGACAAATCAACTGGTATAGGATATATTCTGCTTCAATAAGATGGATCCTCCAGCAGACAAGGCTCAAATACAGTAGAATTAAAAAAGGTCATCATTGGGTTTCCTGTGTTAAAAAAAATTCAAATTTTATTAAAACCCCAAAATTGCACTCACATGGATCAGTGCTCCAGAACCCGATACTTACCCCTCAGATACCATTGCAATTTTTTTTAAAATCCTAAAATGCAAGAAAGTAGATATATTACAAAAACTTAAGGGGTTTAATAACTTTAACCAGGAATAATAAGCCGCAATACTAACAATAAACGTTATCTATATGGGACTTTTTAAAAAGTAAGGGATAGACAACAATGACAAGAAAAATCCTAGATCTGTTCAAATTTTAATAACAGAAAAAGAGAATTACAGAAAAAACAACCCAGTATCTGAGTGGTCCCAGATCAGGTGATCTACCTTGAGTGCCTGTGTTGGAGAATTTATACAGTTTTAGGTCCGGTTCACAATATAGAAACGCAGTCCAGATGCATTCCAGATGTGTTTCTGCCAACACGTTTTTAAAACATGGCGGTGCGTTTTTGATACGTACCAGTTCATTTTTCCTCTCTCTTTTTCTTCAATTTAAATAGGGACATGTGCATTCCAATGTGTTTTGGTGCTTTCCGGTGCATTCCATCACGTTCCAGTGCACTTTTGTGCAGGAAAAATACAGCCTATTCTACTTTTTTTTTCTGCACCTGGAACTGCAAGCACTGATGTGACCTATTACATTGATAACCATATAACCTACTTTCTGTGTTTTTTGCATGCAGAAGAAAATCAACTGAAACGCATGTAGTGTGAAGTGGCCCTTAGAATTACTGACAATAGGGCTTTATTCTGCTTTAGAATCTCATGCATAATGATCAGATGAGACAGGTATGTGGCTGTCTCTGTGTAGAGAAGTAGCTGATGAAACCCTCCATTATCCCTATAAATCTGACATCAGACCAATGTTTGCAGAAATATTCATTCAGTTCAACTAGGCAAATATTTTGGAGTCTTAAAACAGAGGTTTTCTTTTCCAGGCTAAGCTAAATTTTCCCCAAATATTGAAATCAATCTGGAACTTTTTTTTCATCTTTTGCCTTTAGATTGCTGCCTTAGCACCTGCACCGAAGACCAAAAGCCAACTGAAAAGGAAGCAGCTGTTTCAGATCTGCAGATTGGTCTCCTCTATTCCCCGCAACTAACAGGTATGCTGGTACATGTAGTTCCATTGCTTTCACTGCCAGGTTCTTCTGCTACTCGTTAACCACCTGCTGTTGATTCAATTAGCTACACGCCCCCGTCCAGCCAGCTACAATTCTATTTAGGCTTGACTCAGTGTCTCAGGGCTTGACTAAGCAGCAGCGTGTGTTCCTAGAGCCAGGTGATCAGGAAAGCGCCTAGGAACGCCTCTCTCCCTGTGAGGTCTACTGGGAAAAGAATTACATCTTAGAGTATTTCCATAGTGGCCTATTCCTGACTTCATGAGAAGATTCTGAGTGACCACAGCTGTAGGCAGATCCCCCATGTTCCTGGTGTCTGTTTGCAGGCATCTCATGGGTCCCCCCCCCCCCCCCCCCCCATGTCATCCAGCCTGTCTCCTGTGACGCTGTGCTGTGTTGTGTACTTGTACCTTGGTTTCTTTTGTGTATTGCTTTGAGCCTTCTACCCTCCTCTGATCTGTACATTTCTGCCAGGTGTGTTTTTTAGTATTACCTGTGCAGCCTACTTCAATATCTTTCCAATCTGTTTCCCCATACATGTGTATTTGCTCCTCATGCTTCTGGTTGATCTGTGTATTACTACTCACTACTAGTTAATGACTGTCTCTGCACCTGTTCCCAGTGTCTGTGTGTCTCCATGCACACCTGCCAGCTGTACTGCCTGGTGATTCCTGCACCTCAGTGCTGCAAGGGATTATCAGCCCTCAGTTCCCATTAGCTGCCTGCTTGGGTGAGTCTGAGAACCGCAACCTGGGGACCGTCTGCAGCGAAACCCATCTCCACCTTCAGGAGCTCTGGAGAAGACCAGGCGGTTCCTTAGACTCTGCGCCTCGGCCCTTCCAAGGGCCCTCACCTTTACTGTACATGTTACTGTCTAGGGAGAACACAGAATGCCCACAATAGGAATCTGTTCTGTCCTAGACTCCTGATGGCCCTCAGCTGTATCCTGTGTACCTGCATTCCTTGGGACTCCTGTGCACCTCAATTTTCTTTATACATATTGTGACCTCTGTGTTCCTGTAAGCTCAGCATCCTCTGCTGCTTAGATACTTGTCTCCCTGTGAGCCCTGAACCCAGCGCAGTAAGGGTCTCTTAGTACTCCATGTCCTGCCTGTAAGGCCAGCACCCCAGTGCTGCAATATATTCCTGCCGTTCCTGTGAATTCTATATTCTGTGTTTTCCAAGATCCTTATCTTTTTGTGACTTTCTGTACCAGGTCAGCTGTAGCCTGTACGGGGGTGCTTTCCAAGCACACTGCCATCTGGCATGCAGGCTGCATGGAGAGTCCACGATCCCATCCAAACGTGACCGTTCCCATTCATGACAGCATCGCAACACAAAGAACCAATCGATTGACCTGACCTCAGCCTCTTGCAATCTGCTCTAGATCAAATCCATAGGTAAGGTAAGAAACTGCATAAAAAGTGCATTGGAAGTTTGATGCTGCCCTCTTCAGATTCTGACATCTTGAGACAGTCAAGTAGTATTACTGGGTACAGCTATAGAAGATTAAGCTGGCAATTTTAGATGCAGGTGTTTGTGGGGGTTTTTTTTTCTCTTTGCTATTTGTTTTTGTGCATTCTAATTTAGTGTGCAAATACAGATTTCCATGAAGTCGCACTTCCTATACAAGATAGATGGTGATGCATACTCCATTAGCACATTAGGTGGTTTTGGGGTTAGATAGGAAGGACCTATGTTGAAGGTGTTTAGAAGGGGGGAAAAAAACTGCTCACCCTAGAATGCATCAGCATAAAACTCTATCAATGGTAAAATAGAGGCAGGTGTCAGCTAGATTTTTATTTAGCTGTTTAACCAGTTGACATCTACCCCTTACCCTCTAAGGCCTAGTTCACAACAATTTTTTTTTTTCTTGTTTTTTTGAATTTGGTTTTTTGAAAAAGCACATTCACAGCTATGCTTTTCTGAGCCGTTGTGTCCTTTGGAAAGGATAAGGGATTTTTTTTTTTTTTTTTTTAAACGCCAAGCTTTGCATTTTTGGAGATGCTGCAGAAAATGCATGTACGAGTGTAGTGTTTTTGAGGAGTTTTGCATGTTTAATCTGCCCAGCAATAAGTTGGCTCCAAAAACGTGCCAAACGCAAACTGCA